CAATTCAATAATAAGAAGTTAATATTGTGGTATATATTAGACACAATATTGTCTGATTTTGCTAAATTGTGTATGTGAAAATATTACCTATAAAGCCACAGAAGAACTGTTGTGTGTCTCCAAGTCAAACAACTGTGTTTTATTAGAAGCAGCACACAAAGATACTACAAGCTCAGTGTATTGAGTAGGTGTAATGTATTGTAAGTTGCTTCAGAAGTATTGCAAGTATTATGTATAACAATAATAAAACAGTGCATTGACATAAAAAAGGGACATTCACTTTTGATACTTAAGTACTTTTAAAAGCAAGTACTTCTTCACTTTTACTTAAGTACAAATCTGTCTTTACAACTTTCACTTGTAATGGAGTAATATTTGACCAGCAGTAGGCTAACTGTACTTTCACTCAAGCAATTGGAGTTGTGTACTTTGTCTGCCTCTGTATACCCCATGATAGCACAATCAATATGGAAAATTGACAGATGGGTGTTAAATGTCATAACTTCTCCAGTAATAAAAGTGGCCATATTACAAAATAATAAAATTATGAAATGAAAGCCTGAAAATATCATTTAAGTAACAATAATGGTAAAATAATCAATCAACAAAAGGTTTTGTCAGTAATGTCAATGTGTGAAATATTAACACAAAATTGAAATATATAGGCCTACTTGAATCTAAATATATCCAGAATGGTAAAATAATAACAATTGTACGGTGGCCGAGAGAGCTCACTGCGCTGCAAATAAAAAAAAAACACCTGCAAATTAGGAAAACATCTTCATCAATTTGACAACACACAAGCTGCAACTTCTCACAACACAACCAAATAAAGAAACACGCTGCAGACAGCGCGTTTCTGTATTTGGTTGTGTTGTTAGAATTTGAAGCGCCTTTTTGTATTTGGCTGTGTTATGAGAATTTGCTGCGCGTTTCTGTATTTGGTTGTGTTGTGAGTCTTTTCAGCACGTGTGTTGTCAAATTGATGAAGATGATTTCTTAATTTGCAGGTGTTCACTTTTAGTATAGTTGCAGTACAAGCTAAAAATATTGTTGTAAACTAGTTGTGAGCTCAAAGTTTACTACTGTTATACTTAAAGTATACTTTTATATAGGCTACTAGAAAGTGGGCCAATTTAGTCCCAAGGAGTATTGAAACAGTACACTTACAAGTATACTACTGGTACACTGATATTTGTATACTTACTACATAAAGTATACTTAAAAATATACTTGAACTTTACTTAAGTATACTTAATACAATAAACTTGTAGTATACAACTTTTTGGTAAGGGATGCAGGGTCTACTTGTTGTGAACGTCATCCTTGTGCTCTGTGTTTCCCATTTGGATCATTAAAGGACTCTCCTTCTGTGAAATCTCCACGTTTCCTCGTGCTCCAGCGAATTGTGACATATAGGCTTATGTTTTTATTTTTCCTTTTCATTCGAAATATTTCCAAACTTGGTAACTATATCAGGAAATATCTCGATTCTCAAATATGTGTAAGTAAATGCGTTTTGCACCTTTATAGATTGTTATTTGATCTAATGATGGGCAAAGTAGAATCTATTAACTACAGATAAAAAACACGTCTTTTTACTTAAGTACAAGATATGGGTGTCATGCCATAAAATATTTTGAATACGACCGACTTTGTATTCAATGTGAATTTAATAACAATATTGTAAGTTACTAATAAGGCTATAACTTTCATTTTACAGAGATCAAATAACATTTTCATTCAGTCTAGCCATTAAAATTCCATTCCATTAAAACTCCCATTAAAATCACTGAAGATGTTTACACCGTGAAATGAATATCTTGTACGCACATCTGCACTTTGTTGTTTTTGGTGAGAGAATTTGTCAGAGGATTCAGTCAGCGATCAGGTGAACGAAACACCGCGTTTCAGCGATTACCCACCTGAACGTCTCTGATTGGCCAATGCATTCATAAGCTCAACAGAATCGTGTGTGATTGGTTATAATGCGCTGTACAAACGCGTCTGTCTGTGGCTCAGCGCCAGCCAGCGAACGCAGATTAGAATTTCGCAGCTGGTGATGTGCCGCACTGAACGATATAATCACACCGGTACGATTGCATCAAATATAAAAAATATTATTCGGTGATGTTTTGTCTTTTGGAAGCTGCATTCAAAGTCCACTTGGCTCAGAAATCTGAGGGGGCACGTGCGGCCTCGCACCCTATTTTGAGGCAGTTTTAGCCCCCTGGCCTGGTGCTATTTGAAATATTCTCCCACTCCCTTATAGGGGTTGCACCGACTAATCGACTAATCGACTGGTCGACTTCAATGCTCTGCCATGACGCTTT